CTGCTCAACAGGAAGCCTGCTTCTCCCTCTCCCACTCCCCCTGCTTGTGTTCCCTCTCTCACTGTCTCTCTCTGTGTCAAATAAACAAATAAAATCTTTAAAAAAAAAAAAAAAGAAGGCAATACCCAAATCTGTGTCCCTGTCTCCTCTTGTATGGTCCAACAGAAATAACATAGACTTCTGGGAGGAGAAAGGAAAATCCCAGCCTTGATTATGGACTTAAAGGAAGCAGGGGTAATAAGAGAATAAGAATTGGGCAATAACTCAATTCAACAGGACTTATGCCCAGTGAAAACAGTTATCAGGGAATTGAGATTTACAGCAGATTAACCACCAATTAAATTTAGTTATTGCTTCTATGTCCCTTGAAGTCCCAGACGTTGTGAAGTAACTAAATTTATGGCACACATGAATGGCACTTGAGATGCTGTCTTGGATATTGCCAAAACCTTCTTTGGTATCCTATTAGCAACCAAAGACAAAGACCAATTCTCATTCATGCTGCAAGTCCACAAATACACATTTGCAGTATTTCCTAAACTCCCCTGACATTTACTACTACTAGGGGGTAGATCAGGATTTATTGTGAGTACCATTACCCACTGATGCCAAAAGCTTTCAATGATAGATAAATATTCAGCTGGTTGGAGGGTCAGAAGTCTCAGACTCAAAGGCTCTGACTTTGGTGTAACCACACCTTCATCAGCAAAGATGACTGATAAAGCCCAACAAAATCCAGAACACTGCCCAACAAAATCCAGAAGCCTGCTCATCAAGTTTTGGGGGAACTATGCAGACAGATTCACAATGCTCAACCCCTCTGGAAATTAAGGACAAATTGTTGTCCTTCTTCCCCCTGACCAAGAGGCTGCGTAGCATCACTTTGGACTCTGAGATTACAGACAGTAGATGACTCATATAGATATTCTGTTTTAGTGGTCTTTGTGATTGGCTAACCCACAATGGGTGTAATCCAGATCTACATTTGAAGCTAAGCAACAGGCTATGGCATACTTCCTGCTTTGAGGCAGCACACACCTAATGACCCATTTGAGCTACAAGTCTCTATAACTGATGATTTTGTGTACTGCAGCATTCTGAAAGAGGGAGCCAGCCTCCATTCAGAAGTATCCCTTGGGGTTTGGACTCACTGACTCCCTAAAAAGCTAGTTTGGAAAAACAACTCTTAGCTTACTACTGGGCTTTGTCAAAACTGAAGCCCTGACCCAAAGGAGGCTTTGTGACTCTGTGGACTGATATTCTTACTTTGGGATACACCAAATCCCATTCACAACTATCCGACAAGCCTTACTTGTCAGTGAAAATGGTATATTCAGGCCATAGGGATATTCATAAGAGATCTTCAAGTGTTTAAAGAAACACCATTAGTAGATCAAATAGCCCACCAAAGACTGTGGAAATCTTTCTCAGAGGAGCTTCCTGGAGGGATTATTGACACATTATTTATGTGCACCCTGAAGGCAGTTATCACTATAATAAGAGTAATACACTCAGAAAAGGTGGTACAAAATTTGTTCCTGACTTTAGTTGAAATAATCAGTGACACCACACCTCTTCCTCAGAAAGCATTCTGATCAGCCTCTGCCACTGATCAGCACTATTTCAGATAGAATTGCCCAAAACTTTATCCTTGTAGGCCAAGGTAGAATATATGCAATTGCTAATACTTTCTGTTATATCTGGATTAATAATTCAGGCTAAGTAAAAAGGTCAATACAGAAATTTAAGGAGAAAGCCATCTTGCTTTCTAAGGTAGACCATGAGGGCCAAGGTATTTATTTAGCTGGTTGGGTCCAAGACGTTGCCAGCATGGTTGACGCCAATACTGCATGTGGCCTTACCCTGTTGCTTGGAGTTTTGCTGATATTATCCTTTAATTAAACACTATAATTAGGGGCACCTGAGTGGTTCAGTCATTAAGCGTCTGCCTTCGGCTCACATCATGATCTCAGCATCCTGGGATTGAGCCCTGCATCGCGCTCCCTGCTCAGCGGGAAGCCTGCTTCTCCCTCTCCTACTCCCCCTGCTTGTGTTCCCTCTCTGTGTCTCTGCCAGATAAATAAATAAAATCTAAAAAAAAAAAAAAAACTGTAATTAAACAAATTGAATGAATTTAGCCCCAATCTCTTGGTTAGAGTTATCAGAATGGCAAACAACATGGTGGACTCATGGAAAAATATTGTCATTATGGCCCTTAAAACTGCCATATTTTTTTACCTTGGACTATTTTCAGTCTGACAATGGTGTGCCCTGTTTCATAAAATCTGCTCCATAATAGGCTGATGGCCAAAATTTTTGCATATCTCAACATTTGTTTTTTATTTGTCCCACGTTTTATGTTATTTCCTTCCTTTCTTGTTTTTTAAAATTATTAACCAAAATTTTCAAATTAATATATTCTTTTACTATTTTTTTTTACTATTACTGGTTACCCTAAAAGTTACTGCATGCATCCTTGACTTTTTACAACATAAAATAAATGATAATATTTACAACTTTCCCATTAATGCCAGAACCTTAAAACATTTAATAATAATTGCTACCTGTTTTGGAGAGCCAATTCTTAGTATCTAGTAAAACTGAAGAGATGCACAATAGCAATTCACTTTTAATGTCTAAACCTAGACCAACTTTTACAAATGTATACAAGTAGACAGGTATGAGCCTATTCATTATGGCGTTGTTTGGAAGAGTGAAAAGTTGGAGGCAACTTCATGTCCATTAGTATGATAATAGACAAATAAACAGTGGTATATTCATAAAATAGAATTCCATAGCATTAAATAGATAGATAATAACATGAATCTGATGGATATAATTTCAGATGAAAGTAGCAGAAGAATATAAACAAAATGATACATGAATTTTAGAAACAGATTACTCAGGCCTACAAACAGTAAAAATATACAAACATGTTTGGGAAGAATGCACTCTAACTTTAGAATAGTGGCTCTCCATAAAGGGAAAGGAAGAGAGGTAGGACAGGGAGCAGTGCAGAAGTCAAAAACAAGATGAATCCAAGAAAGTGCACACCATGACATAATAATTAAAATGTCAAAAATTAACAATAAAGAATCAAAAGCAGCAAGAAAAAGCAACTAATGACATACAAGGGGAACCCTGTAAGCCTATTTGCCGATTTTTCAGCAGAAAATTTGCAGGCCAGAAGAGAGTAGCATAAATATACAAAGTGTTGAAAGAAAAAACTACAACCAAAAATACTCTACCCAGAAAGATTATCATCCAGAATTGATGACAAGAAAAATAATTTCCCAAAAGTTACAAATTCATCACCACTAAACTAGCCTTATAAGAAATGTTAAAAGGACTTCTTTAAGTGAAAAATAAAAAAGCCATAACTAGAAGTAAGGAATTATAAAAGGAAAAATTTCACTGGTAAAAGCAAATATATAGTAAAACTAGTAGATCACTTACAAAGCTAGTATGAAGGTTAAAGGACAAAAAATTAGTTAAGGGTTTCATAAAATTTAAAAATGCAAAAGCATATATATAAAGCATGGAGGGTAGAGAGTAAAAATATAGAGCTTTTAAAATGTGTTCAAACCAAAGTAATCATCAACCAAATACTGACTGTCGTATACTTAGGATGTTAATATAAACCTCATGGTAACCACAAACCAAAAACCTATAATGACATATAAAAGACAAAGTGGAAGCAATACAAACATAACACTAAAGAAAGTCATCAATTACAAAAGAAAGAAACAGAGAAGAATTACAAAAATAACCAGAAAACAATAACTCAATGGTAATAAGTATGTACCTATCAATAATTACTTTAAATGTAAATGGTCTAAATGTTCCCATCAAAAGACACAGTGTGATTGAATGGATTAAAAATAATATGTATCTCTCTCTCTCTAAAAAAAAGGTGGCGGCACCTGGGTGACTCAGTTGATTAAGTGTCCAACTCTTGATTTGGGCTCAGATCATGATCTCAGGGTTACGAGATTAAGCCCATATCAGGCTCCACACTGGGCATGGAGCCTGCTTAAGATTCTCTCTCTCCCCTTCTGCCCCTCCCCCCACCTCTCTCTCTCTCTCTCTCTCTCTCTCTCAAATAAATAAATAAAATAGCATTTATATGCTGCCTACAAGAGACACATTTCAGACACATGAAAAGATGTTCAACATCACTCATCATCAGAGAAATGCAATTGAAACAATAATCAGATATCACCTCACACCTGTCAGAATGGCTAGAATTAAAAACACAAGAAACAAGTGTTGGCAAAGATGTGGATTCTCACGCTGTTGGTGAGAATACAAACTGGTACAGCCACTGTGGAAAACAGTATGGAGGTCCTCAAAAAATTAAAAATAGAATTACTTTGTGATCAAGTAATTCTTCTACCAGGAATTTTTCCAAAGAATATAGAAACACTAATTCAGAGGGATATATGCCTCCTTATGCTTTTTGCTTTATTTACAAAGCCAAATTATAGAAGCAGCCAAAGTGTCCACTGATAGATTAATGGATAAAGACAGTGTGGAATATATATACAATGGAATAAAATAATGCAATCTTGCCATTCACAACAGTATGGATGGTCCTAGAGGGTATAATGCTGAGCGAAATAAGTCAGTCAGAGAAAACAAATACCATATGATTTCACTCATATGTGGAATTTAAGAAACAAAACAAATGAACAAAGAAAAGGGACAAACAAAAACCCAGACTCTAAATACAGATAACAAGCTGTATTTATGGTGGTGTATGTATGGTGTATGTGTGTATGGTGGTGGGGGTAGGTAAAATAAAGAAGATTAAGAGTACACTTTCTGTGATGAGCACTGAGTAATGTATAGAATCATTGAAAAATAATAAAATAAGATAAATGAAACTTGAGCAAATGCTATTACTCCTAATTTAAATTTATGAAATATTTCATAAATACATGTAAGAAAACTTTATATAAAAAACTTCAAAATGAGTACAATGAGCAGAAAAGGTCTACCTGCAATTTTAGTTGCTGTAGAGTGTGTTAATAAAAACTGATTTTCTATATATATAGGCAAATATTCAGAAGCTCCAATAAAAACTAAAGATTCTGAAGCTTTGGTCAGAGCTAGGCATGTAAATATTGGATTCTTCAACAGAACCTGAAATAGAAATGTTACACACAAATTATTTTATTTTGTTAGGTAAATAAGAATAGATTTATTGACTCACACATTAATGACCAATCAGCAAAAATTTTACCTTTTCCAATCTAAAGTGAATATATATATATATAAATATATCAAAATTTGCAATTCACCAATATACAAATAGTATTAAAGACATGTAGTGATTGAAACATTTTTATTTGACCTCCATACCACCTATAATTTTTGTGAGTCTGGCAGTTTTCTAGAAAACTTAAGGAAAAATAGATATCATTAACCAGGTGTCTCGAATGTCCCTTTATCTTAGTCTGTTTCTTTCCTTAAATCTTTTTACTTAACTAAAAAACAAAATGAAGATAATTTAAGCAACACACAAGGAAAATCAATAGTATTACTGTTAAGATTCTGTATTTTACTCCTGGGAATTCCACATACAGTGAAGTCACTTAAATGCTGCATTTTAGTCAATATTTTGAACTTATTCAGAAGCCTTACGAGAATGTATAGTGATGGTTTACTATTATACTATTACACTATACATAGTAATTAACATGACAATAATTAACATTAAAATATTAACTTTCAAACTGATTTCTGTATTTCCTATATATGTATTTATCTTTGAAAATTTCAGTGGTGTTTTATGTTTGTATATTGTTAAATTAACTTAATTTTTTTCTAGTTCTAAACACCATTTTTGAAAATCTAAACGTATTTTCTATATTAATCTAATTCATCTTTTGAGTGCTATCTAAATTTACACAGTGTGATTCTACCATATTTATCCACTCCCACAAATTAGGCTCACTTCAACTCCCACTGTCACAAGCAAGGCTATATTAAACATCCCTGGATGCCTGGGTGGCTCAGTTGGTTAAGCGACTGCCTTTGGCTAAGGTCATGATCCTGGAATCCGAGGATCGGGTCCCGCATCGGGCTCCCTGCTGAGCAGGGAGTCGGCTTCTCCTTCTGCCCCTCCCCCCTCTCATGTGCTCTCTCTCTCTCTCTCTCTCATTCTCTCTCTCAAATAAATAAATAAAATCTTTAAAAAAAAATAAACATCCCTGTGCATGCACCCTTAAGGACTAGGGTAGAATGTCTTTGGAAGTATATATCCCAGAACAGGATTGCTAGGGCATTAAGATGTACTATACTTCATTCCATTATTCCTCTAATTTTTTTCCCAATATGTATCAGTTTACAATCCCACCATAATGTAAGAGAGTCCTATTTTCTTCATGTAGCAACTTATTCCTTATAAAATTCATCACAGCAATATTTTCAGTTCCACATACCCTTCCAGAACTTTGCCATTCTCCCATCAGCAGGCATTGAACTGGGAAAGTCCTTTATGACTCTCTCAACAAAGCAAGAGATGCTGCATGACTTCTGAGGTGGGATCATAAAATGACAATAGGACTTCTGCTGTATATGCTCACTCTCTCAGGACTCTGGCTTTGGGACTCTTTCACCATGTTGTGAGAAAGTCAAGGCCAGATGGAGAGGCCATGTGTGGGTGTTCCAGCAAACAGCCAGTATCAACAGCCCATAGTTGAGTAAACAAGCCTTCAGAGGATTTTATCCCCCAGACTTCACTTTAGTTGACAAGTAGAGCTGAGCAGAGTAAACCCTGACAAAGCTGCAGATTAATGAGCAAAATCATGTTCTATTATTTTAAGCCACTAAGTTTTGGGGTGGTTTGTCATATAGCAGTAGATAACTGCTATACCCCACATAATCACAAATACTTGATATTATTAGCTGGCTTTTAAAATTTTGCCACGCTGATGGACGTAAAGTCATACCACACACCAATGCTTTATAATGGTACTTTTCTAAATTCAAATCCAACCGAACATTTCATCATGTAATTCATGGCTATTTAGGCTTGGTTATTATGTGTGAACTGCTTATTCATATTTTTATTAGGCTTCCTGAAATTCCTGTATAGATTTTCCAAGAATTCCTTGTTTATTCTAAATACCAATCTCCTGTTAGACTGAGAGATCTGTTACTCATCTTTTAACATTGTCTTAGTTTCTTTCATAGAACAGAAATCTTTGTCATAATTTAATCCACTAATTTTTACTTTGTATTTTACACTATTACAAACTAGTTTAACCTTTCCTATGTCTATGTCACAAGATACTTCTTTCATGGTTTAGCATTAACTGTGCTGGGGTTTTTTTTCTAGTCACATTTTATTAACCTAGAAATACCTTTGCATATCATACGAAGTAGAGGTCCAACCTCATCTCAGCATACAGAGAACCAAATTTGTTATCACATTTACATAACAATTATCTTGGTAGTGCCTCCCCTATCATATAGCAAGTTTTTATATATATTAATCTGTTGCTGAGTTCTGTCTTCTGTTTCACCAGTCTATACCATGATTTTATAGGAAATGGCAATCTGTATTAGATATAACAGGCAGAATAAGGAACAAAAAACTAGCTTTTTTATCTTGGCTCTGCAACTGATTTTTGGAACAACAATTAGCAAATCACATCTCCACATATCCTATTTTTAGGGAGTATTATATAATAGTAGATGCAGTAATGGTGTTAGAGTCAGGCACATGAGATAGTTTTATATTCTTAGCCTCAATTCAGCTACCTGTGTGTGTGTGTGTGTGTGTGTGTGTGTGTGTCTCCAAAGATATATATGTCTTTGGAAAAATAACTCATCCTCTTTAAATTACTGGTTCATGATCTATAAAATAGAAATAATAATATCTATATCTCCAGGTGATCATGAGAATGGAATATATGTAATAATTTAATTTCTGGCATCTAGAAGGTACCCAGGAAAGAATACACATCATTTTCATAATTGATAAAATAAGAGAGTCACACTAGATTATGAGATTTGTTGTTTGCAAATTATAGTGTGCTTTGAATCATTTGGATGGTGTAAAACACAGATTGCCAGGTCCTACTTTCAGAGTTTCTGATTCAGTAGGTTTAGAGCAGGGCCCAAGAATTTGCATTTTTAACAAATTCCCAGGCAATGATGATGATGATGATGATGGTCTAGGAGCTACACTAAGAACCACTGCACTAGATAATTTTTGTGTATGGACTCTTTAGAATTAAAATGAACAGACTGATAGGTTAATCCAGTTGATGAAACTTATTATGTTACACAGTAAAGTAAGAAAGCCAAAAACACTTTCTAAGTAGTTGAATAATTCAGCACTCATAAAGAAACAGAAAAAGATTCAGAAGCAAATGGCAGCTTATCTAGTCTGCTCACTAGTGGGCCTTCCATTGCTTTGTCTTAATTACTACAAAGGCCCAGATATTCAGCTTCTTTCTGTCAGCTTACTGGGCCTATTATCTACTTCTATTATAGCTACTCACTATATTGTCTCTCCATTTGCTTCTCTATCTCAATGGTCTTTGCACACTCATTTTCTCTATGTCAGTTTATTAAAGCTGTGTCATTTAAGTTTCCCAGCCTTTCTCCTATATATACTCTCCCAAGAAAGAGAAATTAACTAGTCAGTTTATAGCAGGTCTCCCTATTGGATATTTTCTCAAGCTATTTAATAGGTTTTTGGGAAATCTAAGGATTGCTATCTTAGGTTCAAGTTCTGATCCCAGACCTAGTTTTAACTAGGACATTTGAACTACATCCTATAGGGCATGTCAACTCATGCACAAAGAAACACTCCTGGGCACTTTATTCAGAAAGGGCTATGGGCACTTTACTGGATTATTTGGTTTTTGGGTGTTGAGTTTGTTAAGTTCTTCATAGATTTTGGATACTAATGCTTTATCAGTTATGTCATTTGCAAATATCTTCTCCCATTCTATAGGCTTTTAGTTTTGTTTATTGTTTCCTTTGCTGTGCAGAAGCTTTTTATGTTGACAAAATACCAATAGTTCATTTCTGTTTTTGTTTCCCTTGCCTTAAGTGATGTGTCCAGTAAGAAGTTGCTGCCATTGATGTCAAAGAGGTGGCTGCCTGTGTTCTCCTCTAGGATTCTGATGAATTCCTGTCTCACATTTAGGTCATTCATCCATTTTGAATTTACTTTTGTGTGTGATGTAGAAAGTGGTCCAATTTCGTTCTTCTGCATGTTGCTGTCCAGTTTTCCCAACAACATTTGTTGAAGAGACTGTCTTTTTCCCATTGGATATTTTTTCCTGCTTTGTTGAAGATTAGTTGACGCTATAGTTGTGGATCCATTTGGGGGTTTTCTGTTCTGTTCTATTGATCTATGTGTCTGTTTTTGTGCCAGTACCATACTGTCTTGATGACTACAGCTTTGTAATATAGTTTGAAGTCCGGAATTGTGATGCCTCCAGCTTTGCTTTTCTTTTTCAAGATTGCTTTAGTTATTCAGGGGCTTTGTGGTTCCATACACATTTTAGGATTGTTTGTTTTAGCGCTGTGAAAAATGCTGGTGGTATTTTGATAGGAATTGTGTTAAATGTGTAGATTGCTTTGGGTAGGATAGATATTTTAATAATATTTGTTCTTCCAATCTATGAGCATGGAATGTCTATTTCTTTGTGTCATCTTCAATTTATTTTATAAGTGTTCTATAGTTTTCAGAGTGCAGATCTTTTACCTCTTTGGTTAGGTTTATTCCTATCTTATCTTTGGTGCAGTTGTAAATGGGATCAATTCCTTGATTTCTCTTTCTTCTGCTTCATTATTGGTGTATAGAAATGCAACAGATTTCTGTACATTGATTTTGTATCCTCCAACTTTGCTGAATTCATGTTATTAGTTCTAGCAATTTTTTGGTGGAGTCTTTTGGGTTTTCTACATAAAGTGTCATGTCCTCAGCAAGTACTGAAAGTTTACTTCTTCCTTATCGATTTAGATGCCTTTTATTTTTTTGTTGTCTGATTGCCAAGGCTAAGACTTCTAGTACTATGTTAAATAGTAATGGTGAGAAAAGACATCTCTGTCTTGTTCCTGACCTTAGAGGAAAGCTCTCAGCTTTTCCCCAATGAGGATGATATTAGTTGTGGGTCTTTTATACATGGCCTTTAAAATGTTGAGGTATGTTCCATCTATATCTATTTTGTTGAGGGTTTTATCAAAAATCAATGCTGTATTTTGTCAAATGCTTTTTCTGCACCTATTGAGAGGACTATATGGTTCTTATCTTTTTTTTATTAATGTAATATATCATGTTGATTGTTTTACAAATATTGAACCACCCCTGCAGCCCAGAATAAATCCCACTCGATCATGGTGAATAATTCTTTTTTTTTTAAGATTTTATTTATTTATTTGACAGAGAGAGACACAGCGGGAGAGGGAACACAAGCAGGGGGAGTGGAAGAGGGAGAAGCAGGCTTCCTGCTGAGCAGGGAGACCCATGCAGGGCTCAATCCCAGGACCTGGGGATCATGACCTGAGCCGAAGGCAGATGCTTAACGACTGAGCCACCCAGGTGCCCCACGAATAATTCTTTTAATGTGCTGTTGGATTTGATTTGCTAATATCTTGTTAAGGATTTGCAATGGATATCATAACTTATTAATATGTTAAATATTTTGCCTCTGTTCTGGCTTTTTATCTTTTATTTATGTCCATTTTATCTATTTTAAAATTAAAATTATCTTTACTGGCATTTGAATAACTCTTTCTTTCCTTAACTGATGAAATTTCTAAAATATATAAGTAAGGACCAGCAAGAAATATGGTAATAGTAGAGATTCTAAAAAGAGATAGTTCTCTGGCTCCTACAAAGAGATAGTTCTCTGGCTCCTTTTAATTAAAAAAAAAAAAAAGAAGAAGACATTTTAGGAAAAAAAAAATCCATGTCTAAAAAATCAGGAGATGTGTTTTTTAACTAGTTATTAGTCAGTAAGTCTTATAATGATGGTGATACATTTTACTGACTGGAATAATTTGCTTGCTGGAATGATTTTATGTCAGTCCTTAAAACAGGAGCTTGTAATCAGACATTGAACTTCAAGCAAACAACACCAATTAAGTGTCATGAACTAGGAGGTACTGAACTATAGGGTTAGTAGTGTGGGAAGACAATAGATCTTTAGTCAATCAAATTCCTCACACTAGTCTTTTAAATTTATTTTCGGTTGATAACCCACTCTTCTTATCAAGATGAAAGGAAAATCTTATGACATTTTCTCCTATTTTTTTGGTGCACTTTCCTTCCCTAATCTAAAATCAGAGATATCTCAAGTAGGCATTCATATTAATTATGTATTTATTGAGTTTTTGCTATGGGCTATGCAGTAATCTATATACCCTGCATTCCTCTGAGGAAGGTACCATTAGTGTACCAATTTCTCAGTTGAAGAAAGTGAGACTCAGAAAGGTTAAAATACTATATTTTATTGAATCTAAAATGCTATCAACAGTAAGAAATACCATTATTCTATATACCACTAAGAAAAAAAAAATCACTGCCACTGACATAATGATACAATGCTTTAAGGAAGGTCCTATACTATGCAGATTTTAGTCTTACCAGTTTTTGAAATATATTAGATCTATTAAGAAGGACTTGCCAGTTTTTCCTGACTCAGTTGCACAGCTTGGCATGTAGTCTAGTCAGTCCTTTTGCAGGTATCTCAATAAATGAACAATAAAGCTATCTCTACTTGTGGGACTCCTTTACTTAAGTTTCATAAAATAATTGGATATTATTTGCAAGAAAATTCCTTCAACACCAAATATTTGCATATATATTATACATATATAATAACTTTATAATCCCATGCTTAAATACTGCCTCATCTTTTTGGGTGAAAACTTAACCCAGCAGTCTCACTCAATATGGAAAGCATCACTAAAGTATGTAACTCAGTTAAGGTCATGATAATATGAACAGCCATGACCAAGTTTACCCATACTCAGGTACTATGTCACAATTACATCCTGCTTTACAGTTATTCCAAGACTTCATCAATTTAATACTAACCCAAGTTTAAAGATGTTAAAATGTGAATGAAAAAAGTATGTCTCAGAATCAAAGAAATATGGAAATTTGCATAAGGTATCACCAGTAGTGAGTGTTATATAATGTCCCTGATGTGTAGTCCTACTAGTAGTTAGGCCTGCTAACAAATCAGAACCTGTGGATAAAGAGAGATCTGATGCATCATTTGCCTTTTACCCCTTGGATAACCACAGAGCACAAAGAGAAGGCTAGAACTTACTCTCTCTAAAACTTTACCAAAGAAGAATAGGATGCTACTCTTGGGTGGTCAGAGTCTCTAGCATGCAATCTGACTTTTGGGCTTAAGTGAAAAGTAACAGACCATAAGAAAATCTCTCTGCCTATGAGATCTACCAAAGAGAAGCAATCACTTACCTTTCGTTCACTTTCTACTCATTCCCAGAATGTCATAGCATCTCTAGCCCTTACCTGATGAGTGATTATAACCATTACCCACTGCTCAACTCCACTCTTCCTTGCATGAATTTAATAACCTGCATGGCTTAAATGACTCACAAGTAACCACCAACCTAATAGAAAACACTGGCTGACTCCCTTAGGATCAGATAAGAAATGCCCTACTTAAATTTCACCAAAATGAAAAATAAAATAATTTCACCAACATGGTTCAATAGATACATTTTACTGAGAAACTCAGCTTTGGCAGGTGCTAAACCATGAAACAAGGCAAAGAGTGGGAATTTTTCTAATGTATTAAGCTCCCTAAAGTATGGCCCATTATCCCTGTTTTCTTTCTGAACTCAGCCTGGTACATGGTTAAAGGCAAGAGCCTAGATACATAAGCTTTCTGTTGGATCTTAATATTACATGTCTATATGTAGACTTTAGAATATTTGCTTCCCCATATTTTAGGTTTTAATTTCTTTCTTTTTTAAGGCTCCAGAAGCTCAAATCTTATTGCAATGTGAAAGGTTTACTTTTTTTCTTCTTATACAAATCATTGTCAACAGCCCTGAATTTATAAATGCCAAGTAATTATTTAATTGGTTCTTGCAATTGGGTCTCACATACTACAGCTGAAGAAAAAAATAACCATTTATAATACCAAGAGAAAACTTCCTGTAACAAAACCCAAATCATACTGTCTTTTCAATTCTTACCCCACTCTAATCCGTTTTTTACACAAAAAAATCATGTTTTAAAGTTCTTAAAACATTATTCCCTTACTTATATTAGTGACTTCTTATTGCATTAAAAACAAAATCGAAAGTTCTCACCAGGTCCCACAATGACCTTCAAGAGCTAGCCTCCGCTTATCTCTCCAACCTCGTATATTCTTTCACTCTCTCCACCAAGCAACTATGCTTTAAACATACAAGTATTTTCTAAACTGAATATAGCCAAAACTTTGCTGCCTCAAGGTGTTTCCACATGTGTCTCTTATGCCTGGAATTTTCTTAATGACCATTCATAATTCCTTCTCTTGCTTTAAGGTTTTCCATTTAAATGCTCCCTGTTCGGTGAAGTCTACTTTGACCCATATCTAAAGTACATTTTACATGGAATTTTCTCTACACAATTGTTAATCACTTGTTTTTAATCTGTATTTTTTTATTTTATTTTGTTTTCTTATGTTATGTTAGTCACCATACAATACACCATTAGTTTTTGATGTAGTGATCCATGATTCATTGTTAATCTGTATTTTTTTAAGATACAAGACCCACACAAGAACATAGCTCCATAAAGTCATGGGTGTTAGTATTATATCTTCAATGCGATTCTGCCCACAACATAAAGGATAAAATTAGGAAAGAGAGAAGAGGAAGCAAATTGAATATAGAATCACTATTTAGAAGCTGGGTTTTTTTCAGGGCACCAGGGTGGCTCAGTCAGTTAAGCATCTGATTCTTGGTTTCAGATTTGGTAATAATCTCAGGGTCGTGGGATCAAGCTCCATGGCCCACTCCACACTGAGCGTGGAGTAGGCTTGAGATTCTTTTCCTCTCTACACCCCTCTGCTCCTCCCCCTGCTTGCACTCACTCTCTCTCTCTTTCTTTCTCAAATAAATAAATAAAATCTTAAAAATTTTTTAAAAAGAAGTTGGGTTTTTAAACCCCACTCCGTATTGTAGGCCTTGTTTCTCACCTAGAGAAGCAAAGGTTTCTTCTCCATTTGACATTGAGATATTTTCCATAAAATATGTTTGCAAGAATATTTGCTAAATTTTGGAGTTCTCTGCTAAGTCATTTAAACATAATAAAAAGATGTTGATACTTATAAGTCATTTCATTAAATGGCTTATTTATTTCTTCATGGAAAGAACAAACAAAAATAACACAAAAGTAAAATTAAAAGAAATAGAAGGAAAATACTCGTACCATCCTCTGATACAAGCCATGTTCCTGCAAATGCCACTTAGGTAACGTGGGTCCTATTTTCCATTATCTATAAAATGACTAAGTTAATTAAGACTTCAAAAGTCCCACTCAGATTTTAGTTGAACACTTTATCATTATTTTCTTAAATCCACTACAGGTCAATTTATTTGGCTTGTTCATGTAAAATATTTTACTTTACCCAAATAGTAGCAAATAAATCCTTGATACTAATTCCAAATTCCTGATCTTTAATCTTTCCATCAAATGGATGAGGATGTTTACGCTTCTCAGCTTTTATCTTTGCTGTACCTATATGATGACAAGTAAAAGAATCTTACGACATGTTTGAATAATTAAAACATATACAAATATATGCACACATCTTAATAAACCCAGTTTTTCTTGAAATGACAAGTGAGCTATTTGTGAACAAGCTAAAGTCAATCTAATTAAGTAAAAAGCACATTCTCCTAAAACAGTGCTCTCATAAAGAACATTCTATGATAATGAAAATTTTCCATATCTGTACTGTCCAATACTGTAGCCATGATCTATATGTAGCTATTAATACTAGAAATGTAGCTCCTGTGACTGAGTAAATGGCTTTCTAATTTTAATTTAATTTGAAATTTAAATAGCCACATATGGCAAGTGACTATAGTATTTGACAGCACAGCCCTAAAATGTAAAAGAGTAATATTTGACATTGCTAAAAATATTTTGTGACAATAAAATGTACCACCATTAGGAAAGTATTTGATTTCTCTAATGTTACATGTTATTTTTCAGTGTTTTCAAAAGAAATTTAGTACTTATTATTTTATCTTACAATAATTCTTTCAGGTAGTACATGTATTAAATGCTAGGTAAATAGATTTAAACATGTTTCTTTTTAAAGAAAGTTATGAACTCTAGCATTTTATAAAAATGACAAGAAGCAGAAATACATACTAATGAAAGTCTGGCACATAAATAAGATAATATCTGGCCAGATCCAGCTTCATTTGCTCAAATAACACTAGCATATGTCACCATATCTCCATGACAAAAAGAAATGTAGTTCAGCCATATTCTGACATTGGGAGATGGGGCTGGGGGCAAGGAATCTATTGTCTTTTAATTAAATGAATTATATTTTTATAGTCACCTCGTACACTGTGTGGGAAGCATGACAATGGTATTAATGTAGACCATGCAATAAGTGAAACCAAACCAAAATAAATCCACCAATGCTGCAGCCAGCTTTGAATCACATCACTGTCTTCAACACTTTAACAGAGAAAAAATTAAAAATTTTAACCTTGTGTATTTCATTACAACAATGCCATAATCAGAAAAAAAGAAAGAGAGAGATGGAACATTTTCTGTTCATTTGTTCCTATTGTTTTGTTTTGCTGATTGTGAGTCCTCCAATTATGTAGTTTTCTTTTATCCTGCAGGATTCTAAATTTTTCCCTTTTCTTTCTTTTACCATGTCCACTCAGGTGGCAAAAGTAATTCTTTGTTCTTTTTAACTTTTTTTCTCCAGCAGAAGCCATGTGTTTGGAAGACTATCCCTTTAAATCTCACCTCTCCTTTAAAATCATTCCTGCCCCTTTAAATCATGCACACCCTTTAGGGCAAGCCTGGCCCTTTAAGGTACATAACTAACCCTTTATCTGGCATCTGACCCTTTAAATCACCTATACGTGGAAATCTCTTTCTTATAGTTCCTTCTCGGACTCAACTCAGATCGAGTGTTAATTACCCTTCTAGTGATCATACCTAATCACCCATAGGATCCTTTGTTAGGCTTTGTCTTTCCTCTTCCTGCAGTTTTTCTTGGTCTGCCTTTGCAGACTTTGCTGTAAGCAGGGTGGGATGGGAATGTGAAGGATCCTGTGCTGGGTCTCTTTTTACTCACTGTTCATTTTGCAGTTTCAGCATTCTTTGTCTTCAGTCATGCTAAGGCCATGATCTTGGGAAAATTTTCATAGTTGTGAAGTTATTTTGTATCATTAAGGGAGAAGATTTGGGGTGTTCATTACCATACAGCTACCACTGTCTTCGGTTCCACAGATATCTAACACCTTGTCCAACCATCTGTTGTGGGAAAAATATCTACATACTCAAGAACCACAGTTTTGAAGGTGCTGGTTTCTCACAGGAAATTCTGTTGTCAACAGAGACCTGGTGAGGAGCTTGCATATAGACCTTGCCTTTAATAGAATGTGGAGAATATTCCATTTTATTCATTAATGGGACAACTCTTTATCCATTACTGCATTATTCAGGGGTACAAGTTCCAACTTGCAATGCTACAAGGTTGCAATCTTGAGTTCCATTATCCAACAGGTATATACATCTGAACATGTTATGCACAAGGAGTTTCAACTCTGGATTGTCACTAGGGCTACATGTTCCCTCACTGACTATAATATTTAGAAATTTTCTTTTTTTCTCCTTTTGCTTTTGAATCCAGCTATGTATTGTAACCATGTGCTTTATGCTACATTATTACATATGTGTAAATAATTGATAACCAAGAAGACTGAGGAAATTAACTAAAAGTGTAAGCAAAGAACAAAGAAAAAGCAAAGTATAAGCAGAATTAAATACAATGCCCTATATATCAATAGATTTTTCTGCTACTAGAAATAATTAAGAAATCTAATAATATAAAGATTCCATGCACAATACTAACAAAAATACTTTAAATTACTAGGAATAATCTTAGTGGAATATTTTCACAAGGAGAATCCCTTTCTGGAGAAACAAAATAACTAAAATTTAATCAAGTCAAAATAAAAAAGGGTATTAATAGATGCAATAAAAAATGGAGGTACTAACTGTTAGGATAAATGAAGCAGAAGAGAGAAATTTGTGATATAGAAGAAAAATGATGGAGAATAAGGAAGTGAGAAAAAGAGAGAAACTCAACTACTGGATCATGAGGGGAGAATTTGAGAGATAAGTGATACCATAAAGAGAAACAATATTAGAATAATTGGGATCCTAGAAGAATAGGAAAGGGTGGGGGCAGAAGGTATATTTGAGCAAATTATAGCTGAGAACATAATTAATCTGAGGAAGGAAACAAATATTCAAGTCCAGGAGGCACAGAGAACCCCCCTCAAAATCAATAAAAATAGGTCAACACCTCAACATATAATAGTGAAGCTTGCAAATCTCAGAGACAAAGAAAAAATCCTGAAAGCAGCTCAGGACAAGAGGTCCTTAACCTACAAGGGTAGAAACATTAGACTGCCAGAACAGCTATCCAAAGAGACCTGGCAGGCCAGAAAGGATTGGCATGATATATTCAGAATGCTAAGTGAGAAAAATATGCAGCCAAGAATACTTTATCCAGCAAGGCTGTCATTCAAAATAGAAGGAAGGTAAAAAGCTTCCAGAACAAACAGAAACTAAAAGAATTTGTGGTCACTAAACCAGCCCTGCAAGAAACATTAAAGGGGATTCTTTAACCAAAGAGAGGGCACAAAAGTAACATAGACCAGAAAGGAACAGAGAGAATATACAGAAACAGTGAGTTTACAGGTAATACAATGGCACTAAATTCATATCTTTCAGTAGTTACTCTGAATGTAAAATGGGCTAAAAGCCCCAATCAAAAGACAAAGGGTATCAGATGGATAAGAAAGCAAGACCCATAGATATGTTTCCTGCAAGAGACTCATTTTAGACCCAAAGACACCTCCAGATTGAAAGTGAAGGGGTGGAAAACCATTTACCATGCTAATGGACATCAAAAGAAGACTGGGTGGCAATCCTTATATCAGACAAATTAGATTTTAAACCAAAGACTGTAATTAGAGATGAGGAAGGACACTAGATCATAAGTAAAGAAGTCTATCCAACAAGAAGATCTAAAAATTGTAAATATCTATGCCCCTAACACGGGAGCAGCCAATTATATAAACCAATCAATAACAAAATTAAGAAACATATTGATGATAATACAATAATAGTAAGGTACTATAACACTCCACCCACTGCAATGGACAAATCATCTAAGCAAAAGATCAACAAGGAAACAAGCACTTTGAATGACACATTGGACCAGATGGACTTCACAGCTATTTTCAGAGCATTCCATCCTAAAGCAACATAATACACATTCTTCTTGAGTGCACATGGAATATTCTCCAGAATAGATCACATACTGGATCACAAATCAGGTCTCAACCAGTACCAAAAGTTTGTGATCATTCCCTGCATATTTTCAGACCACCATGCTTTGAAATTTCAACTCAATCACAAGAGGAAATTTGGAAAGAACTCAAATACATGGAGGTTAAAGAGCATCCTACCAAAGAATGAAGGGGTCAACCACGAAATTAAAGGAGAATTAAAAAAATTCATGGAAACAAATGAAAATGAAAACTCAACTATTCAAAACCTCTGAGATGTAGCAAAGGCGGTCCTAAGAAGGAAGTATATAGCAATACAAGCCTTTCTCAAGAAACAAGAAAGGGCTCAAATACACCACCTAAACTCATACCTAAAGGAGCTGGAGAAGGAATAGCAAATAAAGCCTAACCCAGCAGGAGAAGAGAATTAATAAAGATTAGAGCAGAAATCAATGAAGTAGAAACCAAAAAAAAAATAGTAGAACAGATCAATGAAATTAGGAGCTGGTTCTTTGAAAGAATTGATAAGATGGATAAACTCCTGGCCAGACTTATCAAAAAGAAAAGAGAAAGGACCCAAATAAATAAAATCATGAATGAAAGAGAAGAGATCACAACCAACACTGAAGAAATACAAACAATTATAAGAACATATTATGGGGGCACCTGGGTGGCTCAGTTGTTAAGCATCTGCCTTCGGCTCAGGTCATGATCCCAGGGTTCTGGGATCAAGCCCCGTGTCGGGCTCCCTGCAGGAAACCTGCTTCTCCCTCTCCCGCTCCCCCTGTTGGTATTCCCTCTCTCACTCTCTCTCTCTCTGTCAAATAAATCAATAAAATCTTTAAAAAAAGAACATATTATGAGCAACTATATGGCAACAAATTAGGTAATCTGGAAGAAATGGATGCATTCCTAGAAACATATAAACTACCAAAACTGAAACAGGAATAATTAGAAAACATGAACAGATCCATAACCAGCAAGGAAATTGAAGCAGTAATCAAAAATCTCCCAACAGGGACACCTGGCTGGCTCAGTCATTTAAGCGTCTAACTTTGGCTCTGGTCATGATCTCAGGGTCCTGGGATCGAGTCCCGAACTGGGCTCCTCACTCAGCAGGGAGCCTGCTTCTCCCTCTGCCTGCAGCTCCCCCTGCTTGTGCTTTCTCTCTCTCATGCATGAGCAAAAAAATAAAATCTTTTAAAACAAAATATCCCAACAAACCAGAGTCCAGGGATGGATGGCCTCCCACGGGAATTCTACCAAAGATTTAAAGAAGAATTAATACTTACTTTTCTGAAGCTGTTTCAAAAAATAGAAATAGAAGGAAAACTTCCAAAGTCTTTCTATGAGGCCAGCATTGCCTTGATCGTAAAACCAGACAAAGACCCCACCAAAAAGAAGAATTATAGACCAATATCCCTGATGAACATGGATATAAAAATTCTCACCAAGATACTAGCCAATAGTACAGCTCATTAAAATTCTTATTCACCACGGCCAAGTGGGATTTATTCCTGGGCTGCAAGGATAGTTCAACATCTGCAAATCAATCAATGTGATACACTACATTAATAAAAGAAAGGACAACAACTGTATGATCCCCTCAACAGATGCAGAAAAAACATTTGACAATGTACACATCCTTTCTTGATTAAAAATCTTCAGAGCATAGGGAGAGAGGGAACATACCTCAATATCATAAAAGCCATATGCAAAAAGCCTACAGCAAATATCATTCTCAATGGGGAAAAACTGAGAGCTTTCCCCCTAAGGTCAGGAACACAGCAGGGATGTCCACTCTCACCACTGTTGTTCAATGTAGTACTACAAATCCTAGCCACAGCAATCAGACAACAAAAAGAAATAAAAGGCATCTAAATCAGCAAAGAAGTCAAACGCTCACTCTTCACAGATGACATGATACATTATGTGGAAAAAACAAAGACTCCACCAAAAAATTTCTAGAACTCATATAGGAATTCAGCAAAGTGGCAGGACATAAAATCAGAGAAATCAGTTGCATTTTTAAACACTATCAATGGAACAGAAGAGAAATTAAGGAGCCGATCCCATTCACAATTGCACCAAAAACTATAAGATACCTAGGAAAAAACCTAACCAACGCGGCGAAGGAGCTGTACTCAGAAGACCATAGAACACTCATGAAAGAAATTGAAGAGGGGGGTGCTTGGGTGGCTCAGTTGGTTAAGCGACTGCCTTCGGCTCAGGTCATGATCCTGGAGTCCTGGGATCGAGTCCCGCATCAGGCTTCCTGCTTGGCAGGGCGTCTGCATCTCCCTCTGACCCTCCCCCCTCTCGTGCTCTCTATCTCTCATTCTCTCTCTCTCAAATAAATAAATAAAATCTTTAAAAAATAATAAAAAAAAAAGAAATTGAAGAGGACACCAAGAATATATGACAAAGTAAGATCAGGAGCAGGAGCAGGATGCCCACCTTTAGTCAGGACAGCCCTGGGTGTACTAGCCAGATCAGTTGGTCAAGAAAAATAAAGACAGGCATTCAAATCAGAAAGGAATGAGTAAAACTGTCTCTGAAGATGACATGATCCTAAATATAGAAAACTTAAAGATTCCACCAAAAAACTGTTGAGGGTACCAAGCCATGACACCATTCTATCAAGTTAGCTATTATTGGATAACAGGTTACAGAGTAAGACCAGTGAAATCTGTAGTTGCCATACTGTCACACTTTTTTGTCTTATCAGATGCTTCCTTGTCAGAGGCAGTATTGTGTGAGAAACCACAGGGATGAATATAGCATCTCTAAGTCTTTGAATGGTGTTGCTAGAAGAAGCACTATACGTAGATGTTACAGACGAAATGTTTAGACATTTTTCCAAAGACGATAGACAAATAGGCAACAAGTAAATGAAATGGTGCTCAACATCACTAATCATTAGGGAAAAGAAAATCAAAACTGCAATGAGCTATCATCTCATAACTGTCAGGATGGCTATTAGAAGAAGAAGGAGAAGGAGAAAGAGAAGAAAGAAGAAAGAAAAGGTGGAGGAGGAGGAAGAAGAAGAAAGAGAATAACACAGTGCTAGCACAGATGTTGAGAAATTGGAACCCTTATGTACTACTGGTGGGAATGTAAATGGTAGAGCCTCTATTGAAAATAGAATGGAAGTTCCTCAAAAATATTAAAAATAGAGTTACCATATGATTTAGTAATCCCACTTCTGAGTATATATCCAAAAGAATTGAAAATAGAATTTCAAAGAGTTATTTGCTTATCCATGTTAAATGCAGCATTATTCACAGCAGCCAAGGGGTGGACACAATAAGCTAAATGCCCATAGACAGGTACATGGATAAAGAAGTATGGTATTTACATGCAATGGAATATTATTTAGCCTTAAAAAGGAAGAAAATAGTAGCATACGCTATAGCATATGGATTAAACTTGGGGACATTAAGCTAAGTGAAAAAGCCAGTCACAAAAAAGACAAATGCGTGATTCCACTTATATGAAGTATAAAATGTAGTGAAAATTGTAGAAAGTAGAATGGTGGTTTTCAGGGGCTGGGGAGAAGTGGGCAAATGGAAGTTATTGTGTGATGGATATAGAGTTTTAGCTTTGCGAGATAAAAAGTTCTAGTGATCTGTTATACAACAATGTGCACATCGTTAACACTACTGTACTATACACTTAAAAATGGTTAAGATCATAAAGTTTATGTTATGTGTTTTCTCCACAATTTTTCAAAAAACTACATGTAGAATTAGTAATAAGGTTGTCATTATAAATAGTGTTTTTAAAATTACATTTCAAACAGTAAAGATAAAAGTATATATTCTAGATTTATATGTACATATATGTGCATATCAGTCACATTTACATACGTTTTTCCTAAAAATATGGTTATTACAAATTAAATATATATGTTTACAGTCTACAGTATCTATCCAATAAATATTTTATACAATGTAAACAACAAACAAGGAAATAAAACAGCTTACCTAGTTCCAGAAGTTCTGTTCTCAGAGCCCTTAATAAGGGTTGCTGCTATCACATAACTCAAAGAATATCCGAGTACTACTGAAGCTTCCACTATGCCTATAAAATGAATACTGAACATCAAACAACTATATAAGCGAGCTCTGTCATGATAAAAATTATATCACTGAAATAGATTACTTCTGAAAGCCTCATGTCATACTTCATTAGTCAGGGTCCTCCTGAGAAACAGAACCCATAGGATATTGAGAGAGAGATTTTTAAGGCAATGCCTCATACAGTTATAAGGCCTGGCAAGTCCAAATTTGTAGGGCAGGCCAGCAGGCTAGTAATCCAGGTAAGAATTAATATTACAGTTTTGAGTCCATACTTAAGCTTAAAACCCACAGGGTAGGTCAGGAAGCTGGAAAAACTCAGGCAGAGTTTCTATCTAGCAGTCTGGAGAAAGAATTGTTTCTTTTTTGGGAAACCTAAGTTTTTGCTCTGAAAGCCTTCAACTGATTAAATAAGGCTCACCCACATAGAGGAGAGTAATCCACTTTACTCAGTCTACTGACTGTATTACTCACATCTAAAAAATATAGCAGAAACATCTAGACTGATGTTTGACAAAACAAATCTAGCAAAGCTGACACATAAAATTAACCATCATTTATATACATATATCATCCAATGCATATATTAAAGAAACTTTGATAAAGTAATTATATAATTTATTGTATCTTATTTCACCTATATATTTAATATAAATATATTTACATTTAATATAAATATAAATTCAATATACCTGATTACACTTTGTGGTAGCTTTGTATACTTCACCTTAGCTGCCATGGTGGCAGGAGGTGGCAACTTTTTGCAGTGTTTAGATGTGCATTTTAATTACCATTCAGTAGAACCAAATATAAAACAAACAGATTTGTTGCTACCCTCAGCCAACACTAGTAAATCACTGCAATTTTTTTTCTAAAAGCAGACATAAATATGAATATCATCTATTTTAATTTATTGACATAATTTTCCTTACTTCTGGTGGAAAAAATAATTATTTTGGTGCAAAATGCTATGTTCTCTAAAGTCACCTTCACAACACTTTAAATTTTTTTTAATTAAAAAAAAATATGATAGATAACTCTGTACAGATAGATGATCTACCAAGACCATAGCTATTGCAACATAAAGAAATACAGCTTTATCATGAGATATACCCCTGGTCACTTACTGTAGGGTACCATGGCATAAAAGATTAGAAATAGAAGGTACTACATTGTAGTCAATTAAATAGCATATCACTTCTCTCCTTGGTAGGATGAACAAGATTGTATTTTCATTAACTTCAAAATATCTGAGCCCCACAAAAGGTGAAGTAAGTTAATGCATGTAAAGAGCTTAGTACAATGATAATGATGATTTCATCACCACACTGAATCAAGTACAGAGGAGGCAGGAAACAAATTTTCTGTCCCCTTATGAACATGATGGCAGCAACTTCTCCCCTATGTCCCCAAAGTTTAAACATACAATTAAATCTAATAATTTGAGACTTTTTCCTAGAGAAATGAAATGCAATCTATATAGTTTGATACAGCATATATATCAATGTTATACGTATTATATGTATTAGACATAATACTTAGAAAGAGTATAGTTTTTATTACTTAAGAAAGTACGTCTTTTTCCTATTTCTCTTTATCTTTTTTTAAATTCTTTTTTTAATATTTTATTTATTTATTCATGAGAGATATGCGGGACTCGATCCCAGGACCCTGGGATCATGACCTGAGCTGAAGGCAGACGCTTAACCATCTGAGCCACCCAGGCGCCCTATTTTTCTTTATCTTTTTGATGACTTTCAGATGACTTGTCTACAATTTCAAATCTTAAGCAATTCCTCAGAATTAGGCAGCTCAATGTGATTTTGAAATCAAACATACCACTTATCACTTATTATAATGTTATTATAAGGGCCAATAATTAGCACTCACGTATCAGTTTAGATATGCACACCAAGATGTAAAAGCTCAATAAAATTTCAAAACGAGTCGACCATATGAGAGAGGAAAACAAACTTGCCTAGATAAATACCAGCTGAGTGTGTGGTAACACTGTTGTCAATAAAGACTGCTCCAAGGATATAAAGAGGCATTCCTGCTACTCCCTGCAGAATCTGCCCCAGGATGAAGGAAGATATAAATTTTGTTTGGAATGATGGTACCGCTTTATTGCAAACCTTGTTAGTCTTCATTTCTTGGCAAATATCTTTTGGAAAGATAATTATTTTTTGTTAAATGAGTCAAAAATTAAACACACAACAAATATGCAGTATCTCTCATGAAATATTGCACCTTTTACAAAGTTATTTGCACCAGTGGGCCTTTTCTTTCACAAACATTTCATTTACACTGAAGGTAGCAGTTCTAAAATCAGTCATTATATGCTCATAAAAATGTAATTATAAAAGGAATTTTGTGGGAATACTGGAAAAGATGCATATATTATAAACCAATATAAATGTGTATGCACAATAACAAGTATATACACAATTATGTGTGCATAGGTGTATATACATACACACACATACACAACATACATATGTTCCTCTTAAATTTGGCAACTGGTACCCCTGACTTTTGACGCCCAGGAAAAAGTATTTCTAATGTTCTAGATTATCTGTATTATCAGATTATTTTCTGAGTTTAGTTCTATATCTACTTCATCAGCAATCTTCACATTAACTTTGTGTCACTCTGTTTAAATAATTTCCCTTTTTAGGGCACCTGGGTGGGTCAGTCGGTTAAGTGTCTGCCTTCGGCTCAGGTGATGATCCCAGCCAGGTTCCTGGGATCGAGTCCCGCATCGGGCTCCCTGCTCAGTGGGGAGTCTGCTTCTCCCTCTCCCCTGCTCATGCTCTCTTTCCCTCTCTCTCACTCTCTCTCAAATAAATAAAATCTTTTTAAAAATAATAATTAATTAATTAATTAATTAATAATTTCTCTTTTTAGACTCACTAATTTCTTCTCATAAAGAGGAGGCATTATACAATAAAAATTTATTTCCATTAAAGTTAGTCATTATATGGCAAGCCACTAGATTTTAAATTCCTTTAGGTGGCCGTCTATTTCTTATGCTTTTTTTATTCACATGGTTGTAAAACAATAGTAAGTAAATGTTTCTTGGAATTGCATTTGTTATTAGATTGGTAGATCCAGGCAATGCTATTAGATCGTTCTGATTGTGTCCATTTTGATGGGAATTTAACAAACGCTCTTAAAGTATTTTTGTGGAAAACTGGCTAGAGTGCAGATTGCAATATAGTACACTAATGGAAATTTTCATCCGGGTCAGTATCCATATCAAATGCTAGTTGACTCCATGTCAAGTGGGAGGAGGTTTTTAGAATTGTGATTCAAAATACTGATGATTCAATTATATCAGATATGTTAACTTGTGGTGACATCAGTATCAATGTGATATTTTAAATACCCTGATCTCTTAGTCCTTTGAATTTTTCTCCCCCCATGTACTTGTACTTCACTTAATTAATTTTAAACTTTCAAAAACAATAACTACAAACCTTTCTTAGTTGCAATTTCAAGCATTCCACATTCAAAACATCCCTATCTTTCCAGCTCACTTCTAGTAACCCAATTACAACAATCCTTAAAACCCACTACGATTTTGATACTGCTCCTTTCGCCATCCCAATAACCTCATGTCCTTCACTTCTCCCATTGTCATTTTAGCACTTTTAAATCCCTTGCTCTCTTATCAAGCAATCCCTTGGTAAAACTGCAAACTTCATCAAATTAAACTCTTCTCCCTACTCTGCTCTTATACTTATAAAGTTGAATATGGATGGGGGAAAACACACAACCATGCAAATCTCACTTTGAATTCATAATTATTAAACTCAAGGAGGTCATTCAGCCTCCTGATAATCAAATACGTCCGTAGTCTGCTACTCCTGCCTTCCCCTGTAAAATTCAATTTGTTCGTTTCCCTTCTCCTAGGGATCATGGTCCTGAGATTTCTGCTCTCCAACATCTGAAAATAAATGTTTTCCACCAAGAGAATAAAATAGTATAAATATATGTGAATATTATATAGTTCATATATTGAGGATATATATCAACATATTATTTAATAATGTTATATAAATTGTATTTAATATGAAATATTTATTTGAATTGTGAGCGCACATCATAAACATACTTTTAAATATCATAAGCATGTATATACACATACATACACACATGGAGACATCCTCATGGCTTTTTCCACAAAGTCTCGCTAAAGTCCAGTTTAAAATTACCAAAACGGGTAAATCCATTTTAACATTGCTATGACCTATACACAGCAAGAAAGTACCCAACACAATAGTGCCTGGAATAGTGCTGTGAAACTTCAAAATAGCTTTTATCTACAGGCAATAGCAAAAAGGTTGTGGAATAAATCTTTTAAGATTTTATATTTATTTATTTATTTATTTATTTATTTATTTATTTATTTATTTATTATTTATTTATTATTTATTTATTTATTTATTTGACAGAGAGAGAAGAAGAGAGCCCAGACAGGGGGAGGCAGGGGGAGGGGGAGAAGCAGGCTTCCTGCTGAGCAGGGAGCCCAACGCGGGGCTCGATCCCAGGACCCTGAGATCATGACCTGAGCTGAAGGCAGACACTGAACCGACTGAGCCACCCAGGCGCCCAGAATAAATCTTTCTAAAAATGACAAAGTGAAGAAGCCACTAATCTTTTTAGATTCCAAGTCCTATGCCAAAGGGCAGCTCCCATTTTGAAATGGTAGGAGTCTGATCTTTCTTTTTCTGTGCGTTTATTTATGTATTTATCTGTGCTTTTGTGTATGTGTGTTGAGGTCAGAATAAAGGATTAAGGAAAGCATATTGTGGAAGACATAAGGAACTACCAAAGTTCTCAAGAGATTTATAATACATACGAAAACTGACAAAAGAGAAACAATTTCATAAAATAATGATCCCAAAATATTCCTTCTTCTTCCTATGCCTATCTCTTACATGAAAGGATATATGATCATGAGAAAATAAGAGAATGGCATATATATATTAGTAAGGAGCTACAATTAATTAGCTTAATAAACTTGGTAATATACATAAAAACGGATGGATGTACAGGCAAGTATTACAGTCTATTTTAAGTTCCTAAAGCCAATATTTAAATGAATAATAATTTGATGCACCTTTTATAATCTTACCTCCAGTGACTACACTTGCTTTATGATCTCCACCACTAAAGTATGGAAAAGCAAATAAAAGTGATCCAAATCCTACTAAAAAGGAGGAAAATGTAATCCATCTTGGTATGTTTCCTTTCCCTCCATAGTATGATATAAACACTACTATCAGGCAAGATGAAATATCATAAGTCAAAGACAACAATAAATTCCCCATGTCGTTCAGATGATTGTCCTTCCCAAAAGTGTCAATGCTCAGATCTATGAGACCAAACACAACACCTAAAATGTAAAAAGAAAAAAAGGAAGCAATAATATGCATTTTAAGAGACAAAATAGAACATCATTATAATCATTACAAACCAAAACAATTTACATTGATTTAAGTTTATTTTACATTATTCTAACTGTTTAAGATCCATAAGCACATGATTTGTTTTCTAAAATACTAATAGGCCTTAACCTCTATGAAAATATTTGCTAATTGAATTTTTATACCTATTCTGTACCTATTTAACTGGAGAATACTGATCTTTTTTAGTCATCTTAGTACTGATCTTTAAAGATTTTTTCTTTAGTTTTACTAAGTTTTACTAGCAAAACTAGTGAAGTTTTACTTTACTAAGATTTTATTCTTAGTACTGATCAATTATAAAAATGAATAAATAACAGGAGCACCTGGGTGGCTCAGTCAGTTAAGCATCTGCCCTTGGCTGAGGTCATGATCCCAGGGTCCTCGGATGGAGCCCTGCCTGCATCGGGCTCCTTGCTCAGCAGGGAGTCTGCCTCTCCCCCCTGCTCATGCTCTCTCTCTCTCTCTGTTTTTCTTCTCTCTCGCTCTCAAATAAATAAAATCTTTTTTAAAAAATGAATAAATAACAATCTAATGAATATTTATCTACCACCCAGAACAGGAAATAAAACGTCAAAATATCTGAAGCCCAGCATGAACTCCCTAAACGCATTCTTCTCTCTCTCTCCATACCCATATCCTATATTTGAAGTTTATAATTTCTGACTCTTTTAAACACTTCTTTTTTGACAAAGTGTATATCCTTGAACAATACAGAGAATTGTCATGTTCCTAAACATTAAGTAAAGGGTATCATATAGGTGCATTTCTATCCCTTAGTATCCAACTAGGAAAAAAACAATTGTACTAAATATTTGAAACATAAAGAAATTAATACAGAGGTTGGTTAAAAAAGTAATACATTTGTTGGAGTGAAAAGGGAAAAGAGTTACCAGTCAAAACTCATGATACCTATGAGGCAGAAGTTGCTGGAGCATGGGCTGCTGCCCCTGGAACTGCAATCGCTCTGCTCTCTTTTGCAGGAGGCCAGGACCTACACTATTGCTAATGCTTTGAGAGCCAACTCACAGTCATCCACTGCTTCTGCTGCTCTTGCATTTGCAGAGCCAGAGCCATAAGCCTTGGCTGCTGAAGCACCCACTGTTGGCTGCTGATGGAGCTGCAGTGATGCCTAAGCATAAATCCAGGAGTTTTTATTCACCCAGTATTGCTGCTATTGCCAAAAATACCACCACAGAGAGGGAAAAAAAAGAGGCTTTCCTTTGCCCCTTTTTCAAATCTACTGCCATAGCCTCTCATTGGCAACACCTAAGAGGAAGCCAGTGAGAAAGAAAGGCTTGGAAATGTAGTTTACAGGCTCCTAGGCCCCTCTAAATAGGCGTGAGTCTAGACCACGAATAATGAAGTCTATGGCCAACAAACAAGTAACTTGCAGAGTTCACCTTTTAGACTACTCAGGATTCATTTTCACCCTTCTTCCTCTATTTAAACTAGCATACCAAAGTAAGAGCAACATCATCATGCTTCTGCCTAACATTGTGCAATTATCATTCTTATAAAGATGTTCTTACTCTTTAAAAAAAAAACACACAGAGACAGAGTTCAACCAGTCATCATATCCATCACAAGGTAATTTTACTCCATCTTCTAGTTCAATCATAAACCTAAATGGATTTTCTTAATAAAAAAAAGTAAATTGCAGAGGTATAAATCGTATAAAAAGGTATGAAAGGTATAAATAGACCTAACTAAATTTGTGAAGGAACTGTACTGAAAAAGAAGCTGTAAGTCAGACTTGGAGCAACAACAGTTTAACAGACCAAGACCAGCAGGAAACAAGATATAAAAACTTTGTTGCATCAAAGAGAAGAGTTCTCTTCAACTCTCATTTTAGATGTGGCCAAAGAGGATAATGGCCAATGAAAGAAATGTCACTAAATAGGTCCAGCTCTGGGGTTGGGGTATTAATTCCCCTCCTCAGGGATATTCTGCAACCCAGAGATGAATTTGTAACATTATCTCCCACAATACTCTTTTATAAAATAGTAAGGGAAAATGAGAAAAAAAATCAGAATACACACACACACACATATTTATGTGTGTGTGTGTGTGTGTGTGTACACATAAAACAAATAAGAAAAAATGCATAGTTGCTGCAGTTTCTATTTCTCTAAATGGTTATGCAAACACAGTTGATAACTTCCTTCTTCAATTATTCACTCCCTCTTCTACTTCTTGATCACACATAACATATGTAGGTTGCTATCTCCAAGCATATCCCTCACCTTACAGGACAGCACCCCCATTTTTTTTAATTGTTGTCTCCTAGCTGGACCTTACCTGAGTCTTCAGTAGGACATTATAATTATCTATAAGGCCAAGAATTTCTGGGCATTGAAATACGTAGTAAGATTAGTGAATTTCATGAACATGAATTTCCTGATATTCTTCTTCTCCTATAAAAGGAGTTCCTTCATTTAAAGCAATGTGATAATGAATAAGATGATCATGATGGTGTATAAGGCATTCAATAAGAGCAATAACCACATCAGCACTGGTAGAGATAAATCCATGCATTCAGCTCTTGCATAACCTCTATTCTTGATGCAACTGTCACTATAAACATGAGCCCATTGAACAAGACATATAATGACTGGGGAATTTTCACAGGATGGTTACCTATCTCATTACTGAAAGCTTCCTCTGCAATGGATTTCTTTTGGTGAACATCCACACGGGATAACTCTCCCCATTCAAAGAGACATGCCACTTACCCAGCTCTCCTAGTCACCAAATGGTCAAACCATTAGGCAATGGCAGCATGGTATCTAGGCAATATGGATCATCAGATGTATTGCTCAATGGTCTGCCCAATGGAAAGATTTCCTTTTTCCTCTATTTTTTCAGGGCCTCCCCTGAGGGGAGCTATAGTGCTACCATAACATACTTCCATCTTCAAAAAACAAAAAAAACACAAGCTCACTGAAGATTATGTCTCTTAATTGTGCGTGGAACAAGTGAAGAAACTTTTCCTTCATTTTAGAAGAGGTAGCCCTCACACTCCAAACCAACTGTTCTCTAGAGACATCAGTGCAGTGGCAGGCAAATTTGTGGTGTATAGTATCTCCCAGGGTAGACTTTATGTTAGTCATTCTGGGAAGGCTGGGATCTAATTGTAGTTATGAGTCTGGCAGCAATAAGAGGTAGTAGGGTGGATCATAAGGGCAATCAGCATTCCCTTAACTTCAGTGAAGTAAGTTCAGGGTCTTCAAAAAGGAAATTGCTTTTTCTTCTGACATAGGAGATATAGTTGCTCTTACTGGGAAAGGAGGTTTAGGATTTTGGGATTTATGGTCCTCAGATTCACTGAATTCTAGCCAAATGCCTTCATCCCAATTCTTAAGGTTCCACTCTTCTCCAATCAATACCTCAACTCTAACAAAAGTGATCTGGTAAATCTGTGCATTGAACTTATGTTGTAATTCTGAGTTGGAACTGTTCAAAATACGCAGTGTGTAGCTAAAAGTGATGAGATTCTCATAGAACCATCAGAGAAGCTCACATGTTCCCCTAATCATGCCTTAAACTTCTTATTTTCTTCTGTAAACTTTCCAGAGCAGTCAGAAGCAACTGATCAACCCCAAAATCTTCCTAGTTGAAAGTTCTACCATAGGAGTCAGCTGGAGAAGCCATTCATCTCCCAAAGTCATGCCTTCAATGAGAACTTGATTTTAGGTAACATTTTAAATAACGTCACTACATGACAAAAACATCCAGTATACTATTTTCCACAGGCACAAATATTGTTTTCATTGCTTTCAAGCCCAATCAGGTCAGATAACCAACTTCAGATTCCATCTTTGATGATTTCTTTTTTTCCTGGTTCAGTGCCTGGTAATGGAGTAGTATGTAAAAAAAATCCTAAGATTTTTGTCATTTATAGACAAGTTTTACTACATTGGTGAAGCTAAAAGCTTATTCAAAAACTTTTCAAACACCTTTATATTATATATCATAACTTTGAAAAAATAAAGAATACGATTCTTGATATGCACTCACATACTTTAATTTCTTAGCCATACTTACCTCTAATAAAATTATTCATATTTTTTCTGAAGAATATATTTTTAGTATGATCTTTTTTCCTAATTGTTCCCATGAAATTAGCTGCAATTCATCCATGTTGCTTTGTATAGTTTTGCAGTGAAGTGTTAACTCAGCAGGCCTTGGTTGCTTAAAAAATGCCTATCTTCATGACTAGCTTTTGGTTGGCTCCTGGAAGATGACTCTGAGCCCTTGGAATATTCTGCCTGAGGCCATGGACCACACAGAACCAGTCTGATCTAACAGTTTATATTAAACAAGGTTTAAGGTGAACATCTGTTATATGCCTAAGGCCTTGGGCCATGTATCAGTTTGATCAGATAATTTATGCTAACAACATCATTTCTGCTAAACGTGTATTTTGTTGTGCATGTAGGAGTGGGGTAATGGAGTCTGAGTAGCTAAGGTCAGTCACACAGATGCTGCATGCTTACATGACTGATCACCCCAAAAAAACCTGGACACCAAGGCTCACATAAGCTTGTCTGGCAACTGTTTACATGTGTTATCACCCATTGTTGGGGGGAAAATTAAGCATGTCCATACAATTCCACTGGGAAAGGATACATGGAAGCTTGGACCTGGTTTCTTCTGGATTTTGTCCCATGTGCCTTTTCTCTTTACTTATTTTAATCTGTATCCTTTTATTATAATGAGTCATAACCATGAATATAACATCTTTCTCTGAGTCCCACATCCTCCTAGTGAATCATTCAGCCTGAATGAGGTCTTAGGGACCTCCAACATAATAGTTAATAAATGTGAAGCCTCCAAATGACTGTCCACTGTAGGTCACATTTTAATTGAGAAAACACTCTCTACAGGTGCATAAATATCTAGTAAGCTCAAGGAAAATACTACTAAATAATGTATGAAGTTCTTTTTTTTCTATTGAAATATTTCAGCCAAAATACTCCATTCAGATAATTTTTGACAAATACCTTATAAGACAAAACTCTTCAAATAAATTGTTTCTGTTTATGATTATTTTGAATGTTTCACCAAATTCAAATGTGCAAAGCCATGGGACTTTGTAATTTCATACCAAAATATGAAAGTGAATCAATGTAATTCATTATATTAATATAATAATGGGCAAAAACCACACAAACACACACAAAAAAATCAGAAAAAGCATATTTTTAATTTTTTAAAAGATTTTATTTATTTATTTGATAGAGAGTGAGAGAGCACAAGCAGGGGGAGCAGCAGACAGAGGGAGAAGGAGAAGCAGACTTCCCGCTGAGCAGGGAGCCCAATGCGGGGCTCCATCCCAGGACCCTGGGATCATGACCTAAGCTGAAGGCAGATGCTTAACCCACTGAGCCATCCAGGCACCCCCAGAAAAAGCATTTAACAAAACCCAACACACTTAGTAAAAATACTCAATGAACTAGGAATAGAAGGCAACTTCCTCAAACTGATAAAACATGTATGAAAAACCTACAGCAATACTTAAAAGTGAATCATAAAGCTACTATAGGACCCAACAATTTCACTTCTGGGTATAAAACCAGAGAAATGAAAATATGTGTCCATACAAAAACTTACATACCATTCCAGTTCTACATGTAAGGAGCTTGGAAGTCACCATTCTGTCCTAAAAAGTAACAAACTTAACAGACTAAAAAATTAACAACTCTTTTTGGATATGTAACAGAAGAGAAGATGCAGGACAAACTTTATGAGATGGTGCATTCAACTGCCATTACAACTCATCAACCCATACACTTAAATTTTGTGTTTGATTTCCAAAAATATAAGATCTACGGTTAAAAGAAATGAGAATTTCTTTTAGGGCTGTGATGGAAGCTCCAGAATTCTCAGACAGGACTTGAGCTGAGAGTTAAGAGAACTGAATTTGTCATTTTCTTTTCCTAAGTGCTTAAGGGCACTCAAAAGATTCCATAATACTCTGAATCCAATCAGGCAGGCATGACCTGAGTCCGGTCATAAGGATACATCAAATCCCTCTTATAGTCATTATCACTACCATCAGGTAAAGTGTAGAGCCACTTGGGCTTTTAAGACTTGGTATTTCATCCCGATCAAACACAAGTGATAGCTTGATTCATTATGATGCCACTACGTGCCAAAAACGATTGCCCATCTCCCACTAAAATCCCATCTTTATGGATATATCTTCTGGGACTATGCTTGAGACCAATTTCATAATACTCTGAATCCAATCAGGCAGGCATGACCTGAGTCTAGTCATAAGGACACATCAAATATACCCAGGTTGAAATTCAACATACGGAATGAAAGACCCATATGCCTAAAGACTTGCATGGACATAAGAAACAAGGAGAAAGTGGGGAAACGGCTGCAGATTAAAGAAGTCTAAAATATGACAACTAAATCCATTGTGTGTTCCTGGATAGAATTTGGGACCAGAAAGGAAAAGGAGACAAGATTGAGGCAGTTGGCAATAACTGAGTGGGGCCACCAATTCCTAATTTGATGGTAGTGTTGCACCGATATTCCTGACTGAGAAGGGGGTATAATGGTTAGGTAGGAAAGTGTCCTCACTTTGGAAGAATGCACACTGGAGCCTTTAGCAGTAATGGGGCACCATGTCTGAAAAAGTCTGCATGTATTAAGAAAAGGTGAAGGAACAAATGTGGTAAAATATAAACAACTGGAGAATGTGGGTAAGGGGATGCAGGAATTCTTTGTATCACCTTTGCACCCTTTCTGTATGTTTGAAATTATTTCAAAATTGTTTAAAAGGTAACAACAAATAATAAATAGATCAGCTGATAAATATACATGGATAAATCATTTTTATGAATGGAAGACCCAATGTTATACCCAAGATAAGCTAATGATCTATATGAAGTCAGTTAAAAAGTAGTGGAGCTGAAAACATAGACTGCGAATCACTTGTTTAAAAACTTTCAATGGCTCCTCATTACCAACCTAGTAAGGAGATTATATCAGTGAGACAATGCCTGTAAAGGACCTTACTCATCACCCAGTACATTAGTATGAAGTGAACAACTTTTAGTATCCTCTCAAAATTTTCAGTCTGGCACTTAAAGACCTTCATAAAATTGTCTTTTCCTTCTTTTTCTATTCATTTATGCATCCAATACATGCTTAATGAGTGTCTTTTCTGTCTTAGTCACTATAATTAATGAATAAAACAAATATAATTACTCCTCTTGGTGCTTAGGTGAAACCATCATCCAAGCCAAACTCATCACTCACCATTCTGGAGCAAGGCTTTCCTGTTCCTGAGTGTTTATTTATCCAAACATTCATTCATTCATTCATTCATTCATTTCCTTATACAATAAATACTCCTTAGCTACATTCCAACTATCACAACTGTACCCTATTTATCAGGGCATAATTCAAATGCCTCTTCCCCAAGAAACTTCTTTGATAAAATCAAGATAAAATGATCATTATTTATGTGTTCCTCTCATGTGATTCTTATCACATACAGCCTTTTTATTGTACTTATTTAGAAATAACATTTTCGAGCAAAAAGAGAGATTATATCTGAGAAACTTCAATGCCATCAGTATAAACAGGATAGTAAAGAATCTGAAGCATAAGGGGAGTAGTGAGTGCCAATCCAAGTAAAGAATGCATACCCCCTCTAAAGGCATTCAAATTCACATTCTTTGTTTAACTGTGTGGGCAAAGATAAACACTTGCCAGTTTGGGTTCTCTGATATAGGTTGTTTGAGGTCCCACTTCACCTCCTCAATTCACACATGAGTACACCAAATCCAGGCAGGGAGCAGCTTGGCCAGCCAGTCTCAAAATTGTGAGCAGAAGCAGAAACAAACTGGTGATCACAGACATCGGATTCCATTTTATTTTAATCCCCCCAAATAATTCAACCCTGAACTTCCCAGGATCCATGACCAAACAACATTAAATGACTCTGCAGCACCTTCCTATCTGGAGGTCAGGCCCCTATCACCTACACTGTGTAAGGTGGACTGTGTCACTCACGGGCCTGCTGAGGTGAAGCAATGACAGGGGCACACACGCAAGGTAATGGCCCGTTTAACCTGTTTTGATTCCAGACAGACTTTGAGAACGTGAGAGACTACAGCTGCTTCAAGCTGGGTCACCCCAGGGAGTCCCCCACTCACGCCTGTCCCTCTCCCGCCTCTGCCACATCAGCAGCCCCACCGTGCCCCGGGGCTGCCCTCCCGAGAATGACCGCCACCCCGTCTCAGGCTCACCTTGAGAGGTGATCAGGAGGCAGTAGAAAACCAGGAAGCAATGGATGTTGTTGAACCGCTGACACCCGGGAAAAACTATACGGCCCAAGCCCCAGGGCCCCTCCAAATTTTCTTTTGTCTTCTTCACGACAGGGGGTGTGGCCCCAGCCTGACCTTTTTCTGTTTTTTGAAAAGCGTGGAACTTGATCAGGCTAACGGGAACCGTCTTCATAAACCGGGGTTTTTTCTTGCCCTTCTCCGCCTCGGTGGTCAAAGTATTTTCAGCAACCTGGAGATGGGCAGCCTTTGGCTCCACTTCCGCTAGGGCGTCTGGCATGGCCGGTTGATGGCCTGCGGAGGCTGGGGTCTCGGTTCACAGAGGGTGGGCGGCACTGGGCCAGAGGAGGCGTGTCCTGTTATTTCCAGGGGCTTCCTCCTCTACCAGCTCTACTGAAAGGCCAGCCGGCCTGGACGTGTGGGAACTGGTGGCCACCAGAGGCGCCTCCAGCCCAAGCCTCCAGAGCGAACGTTTCTCCTTGAGCAGAAAGCAAACGTCCCTGAAAGGTTGACAGTTGCCCAGGGAGAACTTCCAAGGCTGTTTCCTTCTCTGCTTCCACGTGGGGAAGAGGAGTGGGGGGTGGGGAGGGAAGGAAGCTAGTACTACTAGATTCTGATATTGCTAACACAAGCAGGGGGCACCAGAGTAACTCTAATGGAAGTCAGAAGATGCTAGATTTAATACTTTTTCTTAGAAAGCAAGGAAGAAATGTGCAGTGAGGCGATAGTGGAACTGTCCCCCAGTTTCCCCAGACTTACCTTATTGTAATGTTTTTTGAACTGGATGATCCCACTATAAACAACCTGAAAATTGTTGAAGGACCAGGAGAAATCAGAGACATGAAAACGACACTTCTACCATATTTAGAGAAACCAGCAAATATCACAAAACAATACCCCAATGAATGTAAAAAAAATAAAAATAAAAAACCCCACAAAATATTAGCAAGTCAAACCCAACAACATATGAAAAAGAACTATATTCCAAGATCAAGTGGAATTTATTCCAGGAATACAAAGTTGGTTTAACATTTGAAGATCATTTAATGTAATACATGAGATTAACAAAAGGCAAAATTTACCTGATCATTTTAATAGATGCAGAAAAAGCATTTGAAAATATTCATCACCTTTTCATGGTAAAAACACACAAGCAATTAAGAATACAAGCGAACTACCCAAACTGATAAATAGTATCATACCTATTGACCTTTGACTTGCTTCCAGGATTATTTGAGTAATCCTTTATATAAGAAACAACTGTGTGAAAGTATAGTCATATTTTCAGTAGCCAGTAGCCAATGTTTAAAATACCCATGGAGAAAAAAGATGATTAGCCCTTTAAGAAAGTAAGTCTGGAAATCACCACTGGAAGCAGCAAGTGACAGTCATAAAAAGATATGTCCTTTTCACTGTAACAAAGAGTATGAGCTAAAAGATCAGGACAACCACACCTGTAGTGTTGTTTACTAACATAATTCCCTGCTGATAAAAAGATGAGATCCTAAAGGAAGTTCTGCCCATGTAAAAATTTGGCTCTTTTTTTTTATGGTTGTTGTTTTGATCACAAAAAAAAATTTTAAAGCCCAAAGGAGAGTGAAAATGAAATAATAAGTGGTGCCTCACTAATTTCTTTTCAGTTTTAGCCAGAAATGAGACCTTTGAAGTTTTAGAGTCTGTAAGAAACCAAAGTTATAGAGGAGTACTGTACAATAGAAATAAAATGTCAGCACATACATAATTTAAAATTTTCTAGTCCCCACCACAAAAAAAATTAAAAACAGGCAAAATTAATTTGAGTAATATATTTTATTTAACCTAATATATCCTAAATATTAGCATTTCAACATATAATTATTATGTTTGAAATCATTAATTACTAATGGACTATTTTATATTCTTTTATTTCCAGTAAGTCTTTAGTATTAGTTTGTATTGTATACTTACAGGACATCTCAGTTCAGACTGGCCACATTTCAAATGCTTGATTGCCATATGGGGCCAGTGGCTACCATAATGAAGAGTGTGATTATAGAGGCTCCTTTTCAGTTTGAAAAAGTTTATAAGTTATTTGGGGGCTAAAATGTGTTTAAATCACAGAATTAATAGCAATTCTTTTACTCTATTTTATAATAAAATGATGTTTTCCCATTTTTATAATAATTTTTTAAAGCTAGCTAAATGGTTTCATTTTGTCTTTTTTTTAAATAATAGCATTTATTTGAGTGGAGAAATGTCTAACTACAAGGTTTTTATGATATAATAGAGGGTACTGCCATCCCACCACGAGGATTGTAGACTAAGTATTTAAGAAGAAATAACAGACCTTTGTTTGCTTTGCACGTTTAACCTTAGTAAACATCACACTGAACAATCCATGTAGGCTATCTTTATTTGATGGTACAAGGTTTGCATAAAATCCCACTGTATGGATTTGCTATAATTTAGCCACTCCCATATTGATGGTATGGCTTGTTTCCAGTTTTGGCTTTGACAATACTGAAATGGACATCTTCATAGGTAGAGTATTTTTCTGAAAGACGGGTCACTGATTTAAAAGAACTTTTCATAGAGGGGTGCCTGGGTGGTTCAGTTGTTAAGCATCTGCCTTCAGCTCAGGTCATGATCCTGGGGTCCTGGGATCGAGCCCCGCATCGGGCTCCCTGCTCGGCGGGCAGCCTGCTTCTCCCTCTCCCACTCCCCCCTGCTTGTGTTCCCTCTATCACCGTCTCTTTGTCAAATAAATAAATAAAATCTTAAAAAAAAAAATTAAAACTTTTCATAGAAAATGTAAACAAAGTTATAAAACACATCCCAATTTTGGAAATACTAAATGCAGAAAAAAACTGTCTTTGAATCTGTAAACATGGATGTTAAAATAATTTTGCATGTTTTCCGGAAGTTAACAAGTGACTATCACATAAAATTTCATTGTGGGCAGTGAATATAGCTATCAACTAAAGCAGTCCCTAAGAAATTAGGCAATTCAAGAGCTTAAGGCATTTCAAGAGACGAGCTTGAATTAAACAATTAAGGTTTATGAGGTGCTGTTAAATATCCTCCATATGATATCCATTTCAGCTAAAACCTCTAAACATGTATGTAGGAAGAAAAACTCACTAAAGTTAACCTATTGAGTGTATTTCATATAACTCTTTTTGGCAAATGCATCAATAAAGTAGAAAAACAACATGATAGTACAAATCACTGTAATGTAGTTTAACACATGGATGACTTCAACCTAGACTTAGGATCTAGATCCTAGACTTTGGATCCTAGACTTTGGATCCAGCTCTTCTGCTTAGTTATTATGTGATTTTGGAGAATTCTTTCAAACATTCTCACCCTTGGTTCTTAATTTGTAAAATGAAAATAATGGTAACTCATTTGCAAGATTATTGTGAGGGTTAGAAGTAATATGCTAAGAGTGTCTAGCACAGTTCCTGGTATATAGTAGATACTTAAACAAAGATAATTATTTATCAAATTATTACAATCATAAACCTATATATGAAAAAATACCTACTGTGCATAGCCCTCTATGTTAGACCCTCCATCGGGATACCTGGGTGGCTCAGGAGTTGGGCATCTGCCTTCAGCTCAGGTCATGATCCCAGGGTCCTGGAATCTAGTCCCACATTGGGCTCCCTGTTCAGCAGGGAGCCTGCTTCTCCCTCTCCTTATGCTCCTTCTTGTGCATTCTCTTTCTCCCTCTCTCTGACAAATAAATAAATAAAATATTTTAAAAAGAAGAGGAAGAAAACAATAAGAATAGACCCTAACCCCACTAACTTAAAATAAAAAGAATGTATGATGTTGAAATAAACATAAAGTAATTTTTACTCATTAGCTAGTGAAGCCTAGGAATTCAGTGTGCAAAATGGTTGAGTGTATTGGAGTTGGAAACAGTAGATTATTTAGGTCAATCAATGAAGTAATAAACAGCTAAATAAGAAGATGGATGGTGAAGAAGACCTTTAGCAATGAATTCCTATTAGAGATAATGCACTTTAATAAATAACTCCAAATTTAAAGCCATTCAGAATGATTGCTGGATTACATGTTAATGTTTTATTTTTTTAAAAAAATTTTTTATTTATTTGAGAGAGAGAATGAGATAGAGAGAGAGAGCATGAGAAGGGGAAGGGTCCGAGGGAGAAGCAGACTCACTGCTGAGCAGGGAACCCGATGTGGGACTCGATCCCGGGACTCCAGGATCATGACCTGAGCCAAAGGCAGTTGCTTAATCAACTGAGCCACCCAGGCGCCCTACATGTTAATGTTTTAAAAACAAGTAAAACATTAAAAAGATAAACAGAAATTATTAAAATGAAAAGGAAGACTTTATTCAAGACTTTGTGGGATGCCTGGATGGCACAGTTGGTTGGGCAACTAACTCTTGGTTTTGGCTCAGGTTATGATAATGACTCCTGCAATGGGCTCCATGCTTGGCACAGGATCTGCTTGGGATTCTCTCTCCCTCTCCTTCTGCCCCTCCCACTCCTGCTCTCTGTATCTCTCAAATAAGTAAGTAAATCTTTAAAATTAAAAAAAAAAAAAGACTGCAATAAGGGTGAGAAATTGTGCTCAACTCCAAATACAGCAAAGCAAGTGGGGATTTATAGCTAAAGAGCAGACTGAGGGGGTCAGTGGATAGAAAAGTACTAAGAGGAGACATCAAGCATGAGGGGATTCTTGCTAACAGGACTCTTACTAAAATCAAACCAAGGACTTAGAGATCGAAGGTGGGGACGAGGAACTTGATCAGATACTAAAGGTGACCCGGTATCAAGGGTAGGGGGATGATGCCTTAGCTGGATTCTTTGCTAAGACTGGTTTAGACCAGCTGAAAAGAGGGCTCAAGGGGGTCTGTCTAAAGTTTGATCAAGAAGAAAGTCTTTGTCAGGATATTTGATGCTTTGCTTCTGTACTGTTGATAACACTTGACTTACACTACCTAAAATAAATCTATTGTATTTTATTTTTTTTAAGTAGGATCCATGCTAGGTGTGGACCCAGCATATGGCTTGAACTCACAACCCTGAGATCAAGACCTGAGCTGAGATCAAGAGTTGGACATTTAACTGACAGAGCCACCCAGGTTCCCCTAAAATAAATCTTTTTTTTAAAATAATTTTTATTGTTATGTTAATCACCATACATTACATCATTAGTTTTTGATGTAGTGTTCCATGATTCATTGTTTGTGCATAACACCCAGTGCTCCACGCAGAATGTGCCCTCTTTAATACCCATCACCAGGCTAACCCATCCCCCCAC